GAAATCCTGTTTTTCTTCACAATTGATTGTAGTTTGCTCCTAATTCATCGTTCAACTAATCGACACCATGTTTATATTAGATAAATATTATTAAATAAACCCATCTCTACCCTTTTTATTGTTTAACATCTTCATCTTTATTTACTCGCCTATTTAATGAACAGGAATGAGTAGCTTTGGCGATCTGGAAGGTGGCCTTACGGACGCTGCAGCTTCAGCAGAAGCGGCAGCACTTCATCAGTCTCAAGGCGCATTTCTGCTACCTAACATAGATCAGGGCTCCACTGCTAGTGCTTTGGGTGATCTTGGGCGGCTTTCTGCGTCAAGAGCAGCCTTGGCAGGAGGAACAGAACGGAGTGGTCACGGGCCATCTTCAAATTGTGCTGCTGGGCCGACAGAGCTGTTGGATGGCGAGACGAATTCGGCCTCAGGAAGCAGCACTACTCGACCTATCTCTTCATCAGTGGCGCCAGGTGGAGCGGGCACCGGGGCCAGTTGTGAGGCTCGGGTAGCAATTAAACTCGGAGGGACTAGTTGCCATTCTCCTCTTGGTGGAGCCATTTACTCTCCCATAGGTTCTTCGTCAGCGACGGCCTTGAGATACTTGGTAAGTTGAGAAATCACCTTTTAAAAGCACCCCTAGGTACTCATTTCTATATGCAGGTTTATCGAAAAGTGAGCAAGATTCACTTTTGGTAAGGGGGTATTTTTATATTTAGGCATAAATTATTATTTTTAATAACTATCTACTTACATTCTCTTCTTTTCGTGTGGGTTTTTTTCACACACTGTATCTCACCTCTAGGAAACCTTTTCTTTGCTATGCCCACCCGGTTTTCATCCATATTTTCATATCATTCTTATGATCATCCGTATCACTTGGCTATTCACTAAATCTTTCATACATACTTCTTTATCTTTTCGCTCGTTGGCAAATATAGATTCTTATCCCTCAACCTTGTATACGAGTTTAAGATTGGTGTAGGACTATTGCACTTGCATAAAAATCTCTGCACACTATCTTCGA